GGTGACCTTGGGCAAGTCACACACTCAGCTACGGAGGATGGCAATGGCAGATCTCATCTGAAGAAATCTTGCCAAGAAACCCATTATAGGTTCACCTTAGGGGTGTCATAAGTCAGAAATGATTTGAAGACACACAACAATGAAAACAAGGCAAAGCCTTTTCAGATTTCAATTTTACTTACCATTTTGTTATATTATTAAGTGACCTGGTGGGTTTTTAATCAGAGCTGCTATTGAATTTTAATGTACTACAGCTCACCTGACTCTACACAGGTTTAAAAACAAGTTCAGTGGCTATTATACAGACCTGCAGTTATGTATCATGATTTTCAAGTCCCCAAATCATCCCACACTAGTTGAAGTCAGCACAGCTTCAACAAGTATTAATGGGAACATGTAATTCTTCTGTCTTTGGGGAAGACTCTCTCTTGTTCCCATCACTCACATGTGAGAACAGGGGAGAGAGATCCTTCTCAGTGTCTGCTCTGACTATGGAAGCCTCCTTTCTGCTCTCTTTCCGCCAGCAGGTAAAAGCCCCTTTATTTATTTATGTAGGCCTTTTACCTCTTATCTTGCTGAGGCAGAAGTGTTTCAACAGGGTGTGCTATGATTTTATCTTTGTATTATGTTTTAAATATGTTTTAACTCTTAAATTGTTGTCTTGACTGAATTGTTCTAATAGCCTTATAACTTTTACATTACATACAATATCATACTTCTACTGTAAGCCACTTTGGGTCCCATATTAGAAGAAAGGTGGAATATAAATAGATAACATAAAATCCAATACCTGGGGTAGCAATATCTTCATTTACCATGTTTATGCAACAACGTAAAAAAAAAAAATCACAACTCTAGTTTGCTTAGTTGTGTTTACCTTTTGTCAAAGTGAAGCTTACAATTAAAGAAAATCTCTTTAAAAAGCCTCTCACTTTTAGTAGAGACACCTTATTAACAAGACCAAAGTTTTTCTACTGTTACTATTTGACTGTCAAATGTCACCAAAGTCATTCTGATGGATCAAGAGTATGGCATAGATTTGTATGTTTATCATGCTGTGTACTAGAACAGATACCTTTTGAATGTTATAATCAGACAGAGTGCGTCCATCTTCCAACTGTTTGCCAGCAAAAATCAGACGCTGTTGATCAGGAGGAATTCCTAGCAGGAAAAAAAATCAACATCATTGTCAATACTATAATTATGAAAAATATTTATGTCCCATACCACAAGATCTCAGGTCAACATACAGATTAAAATAATAATATTTTATACATTTTTATATATTAATATATCACTATGACTTAATTATCTCATAGCAAGATACTGCAGTGAGTACAGTGGGACTTCAGTATCCATGGGGGATCCATTTCACCATCCCCACCACCCCGTGGATACCAAAATCTGAGGGACCTCAAATTCCATTGCCCCATGCCGTCATTGAGGATAATGGGTTTGTTGTCTTTGGATGCTTAAATCCGTGTATGGCAAGTCCGCTGGATACCAAAAAATGCAAGAGCCATCATGATATTGTGAGATGTCTGTTTTAAAGGACATGATCATTAAGATTTCTCAAAACATCTGCAGGCCATTTGTAGAATCTTCAAAAAAGATACCTCCTTTTTTTCTTTCTTTTTGCATGTAAGTAGATACATAAATAATCTGCACTATTTGCTAACAAGCTAAAAACACAAATAATAATAATAATAATAATAATAATAAATTTATTTATACCCCGCTTAAATGAAGACAAAAGCCACACACATGTATTCGAAAGTGGGTCTGTGGTGGAACCTTCTTTTTAGTAAGGTAGAAAAAACTACAAATTTCAAATTTTCCAAATTTTCACCTACCTTCCTTATCCTGGATCTTGGCTTTGACATTTTCTATAGTGTCAGATGGTTCAACCTGTTATAAAAGAATAGCCAAAATGATTAATAGATTCAAACTAATTGGAAATACATACAGTCCCTATTCGCAGGCATTACCTCAACAGCATTGTTGTGTAAGATGAAATATGTTAGTTTTATTTGAAAGCACGTTTTGCAGTACAGTGGCTCCTTGATATCCACTGGGGTTTGGTTCCATGACCCCCCCCCCCCCCCCCCCGTGGACACCAAAATCACCAGATGCTCAAGTCCCATTAAATATAATGGCATAGTAAGATTATATAAGGAAGTAAATAGTGCCAATTTCTCAACATCTTTTTTGAACTGTGGTGCCCAAAACTTATTGGCACTATTACTTCCCTCGATTTGGACACTGTATTTCTATTGATGCAGCCTAGAATCACATTGGCCTTTTTAGCTGCTGCATCACACTCTTGACTCATGGTCAACTTGTGCTCTACTAGGACTCCTGAGAGCTAGTGTTGTGGTTTCAGTGTTGGACTCTGGAGACCAGGGTTCGAATCCTAGTTTGACCACGAAAACCCTGAGGTCCAATCCACACTGCAGAAATAATCCAGTATGAGAACACTTTAACCGCCTTGGCTCAGTGCTAGAGTATCCTGGAAAGTGTAGTTCTGTGAGACGTAGGGCCAAAGCAGACTACCAGAAATAGTGCACATTAAATTGAGGCACTGCCCTGGCTCAGGGCTAAGGAATAATGGGAACTGTAATTTATTGTGGCACCAGAGCTCTCTGACAGAGAAGGCTCAATGTCTCAGAAAAAAATACAATTCCCATGACTCCCTAGCACTGAGCCAGGGCAGTGCCTCAATTTAATGTGCACTATTTCTGGCAGTCTGCTTAGGCCTTTAGCCTTCTCTGTAGTTCCCAGGATTCCTTAGCAGAGCCAGGGCAGTTAAAGCGGTCTCAAACTGGATTATTTCTGCAGTGTGTTTTGGACCGGAGTGACGCTGGTCAAGTCACACTCTCTCAGCCTCAGAGGATGGCAATGAGGCAAACCCTCTTCTGAAGGAACTTGCCAAGAAAACCCCATGATAGCCGGCTTTGTGAACCCTATCCCTCCTCATCCATTCCTTTCTTTCCCTCTTTTGCTCTTTCCTTCCCTCACCTCGAGGGTGATGGTTTTCCCCGTCAGAGTTTTCACGAAGATCTGCATGGCGAAGGAGGAGGTGGCGGCGCCGCCCTCACCTGCGGAAAGAAAGAGAAGCCGTGAGGTAAAATATAAAACCCCGCGCTCAGAGGCCTCACTTCTAGGCCTCACGGGACGGGAAGCGAAATAAGGCTCCGGACGGAGCGCGCCCTCACCTCACACCAGAGCCTTGTAATGGCGGATGCCGGAAAGAAAGACTGCTCGGCCTCGCACGGGGTTTCCCAGCTCTGGGAGGAAGAGGCGGGGCCTTCCGGCCTCCAGAGGCCGCTTGGGGAAAGCATCACGGGAGTGGTAGTTTTCATAAGGGAGAGTCAGAGCGGAAGAGCTCGCGAAAGGGTTGTCGGGAATTGTATGCGGAAAGTTAAAGAAGGACACTGACGGGCGGAGAGAAAGAGGCGAAAGAAAACAACATTTCCCATCGTGCACCTGGGAGTGGTAGTTTTCGTGAGGGAGAGTCAGAGCCAGAGGAGTCCTGTCAGGCTGAAGAGCTCGCGAAAGGATTGTCGGGAATTGTATGCGGGAAGTTAGAGAAGGACGCTGAAGGGCGGAGAGAAAGAGGCGAAAGAAAACAACATTTCCCATCACGCATCTGGGTATTTCTATCGCTCCTCCTCCTCCTCTTGGACGTAACTCGGTTTGCCTATAGGCGACGGTTGGTTGGTGGGTGAGTTGAGGGAAAGTGGCTGAGGGCGCCTGAGGGACGCCTCTGTTATGTTTGATAACGCCTTGAGGAAAAGTTACTTATTATTCCAAAACCTTCTCTCTCTCATGCACCTGTGTGTAAAAGTATAACGTTTATTCTTCAATAGGAATGTATTTGTTATTGTTTTTGTTATTATTTATTTGTGCCCCACTTCCCCCCC